CCTCCCCCCCCCCCCCCCCCCCAAAAAAAAAAAAAAATCTGTTGTCACTTTATTTTAAAAGTGTTAGCAGCATTTAGGTTATAATTTGTTTGTCACTTTCTTAAAGAAGAACTCCAGAGAAATTTCTAATTAACCCTTGCGGTGAGGCTACCCCTGCACTGCAGGGGTTAAGTGCTTATTTTCATCTAGGCAGGAAAATAACAAAGTTATAATCACATGATCTTCGGAGCCGGCTTGCTCTTAGACAAGTCCCTGGTGCCTCTCTCCCCCTCCGCTCCAGGGATCTAAGCTCCCTGAGTCATCACGTTCTATACACAGTGTAAAGACGTGAGGACGCCGAGGGACATACCATTGCTGCAGTGGAGGAGAAGACAGGCAGGAGGAAGTGCTGTGACAGCTGGCTACCTTCGAGGGTCAGGTAAGTATATCTTTGTTATTTTGCTGCTTAGACTAAAACAAGCACTTAAGCCATGCAGTGCCGGGGTAGCCCCACTGCAAAGGTTAATAAAACATGTCCTCTGAGTTTTGTTTTAAAGACCTTTTGAAACTACAGGTCCTTCTAAGACTACCTTGTCCACAGGGTGACAACACTGCAATAGGATTTCACTGCAGAAGCAACAGCGTTGTCACCCTGGTAAAGGAAGTGGGGAAATATTTGATCTGCCAGCAAAAATTACCAGGTAATTAAACTATGTTATTAAAAAAAACCATTGTGTTGATAATATTGACAGACTGCATCATATATGTAATTTTTTATTTTGCCCATAGTTCCATGTTATCGAAAATAAAACCATATTATCTCCACTGGTTAAGCCCCAAAATTATTACTATCTTACTGAGTAACTTTTTCACTTTTATGGTGTTTTTAATTATTGTATAAGAATCTTGAAACTAATTTTTCATTTTAATTTCACTCAGTAACATATTTAATACAATTGATTTAGAATTCTGGACTTTCTTTAATTTTAGGCTTTTGAAGACATTTACATTGAACAAAGAAAAACAATTAAAACCATGCTGGAATATGCTGATAAAGTCTTCACGTACATCTTCATCCTTGAAATGCTTCTGAAATGGTTGGCCTATGGATTTGCTAAATACTTCACCAACGCCTGGTGCTGGCTGGACTTCCTGATTGTTGATGTAGGTATTTTGGCATGTTTTTATTTTCCCAAGTGCCCTTCAATGCATTTTGTGCCCAATGTATGACTGCCATCAATAATAAATATGTAAACAATTGCACAAATGCTTACAAAGATGCAAGTTGATCGTTCTGGGAAATATTGTACATTGACTTACCCTTAGACACCTGTTTGGTATTTCTTCAGACACATATATAGGATTACTGATCGTGCCCATGTGTGACTGTTGTGCTTATAGCGATGTGAAGTGGGTGGGCTTTCCTCTTACTTCAAGAATAATATATAGAACTTGTAAAGAGAAACAAATTGGGAGCATCTGTAGGTTCCTCACTAATTTACAGGGTGGAAGGTATTATATAATTCTCGAGAACTCACACAATGGGGTTGATATACCAAAAACAAATAGTCTGTTAATATTGCAAGGGAATTTTTACTTTGCAAGTTTGCACTTTTCCCTTAGCTCAGTGAATGTGGTAAAAATTCACTTTGCAAAGAATACCCAATCATGTGCAAGAAAAAAAAACAAACAAGAAAAACAGTATTGTTGCTTGCACATGATTGGATGATGGAAGTCAGCAGAGCTTCACCTCATTTACTAAGCTAATGGAAAATTGCCTTTCAAAATGAACAGCGTATTTGCCTTTAGTAAATCAACCCCATTGCCCTATTATATATTTAGCATTAATACCTATTGAGTATACTTTTGAAGAAAATTAGTTTAAACAAATATTTTATTCCAACTTCAAAGGCTATATTGATATCATATTCATATTTTATCCAAATGTTTGACTGTATGCTCTATACATTTATGTTTGCCCCAATGAACAAGCGTTATATCAAGGGTGTAAGGTAGTAATATTGTGTTTTAAGCTACTACCTGAAAGGTTCAAGATTTTAGACTGGTAATGTTAGACTTTAGAATTCAGATTGTTTAAATGGTTTACGTGATATTATTATTTTTATTTGAGGTGGGGGGCCAAAGCCAAAACATATCTGAACATACTATAGTTTCAAACCGATTTTTCTTCTCTTACCACAGAATTAATTTCTGTAAGCCATTGTTTTCAAACTTATTCCCACAAAATTTTTTTTAGGTATTGGTACAGTTTTAACGTGGTGGTAGTGAAACGCCAATTAAAAATAAAAAAATGGGGTCCCAGCAACTGTTTGCCATAATATGCTACTAAAGTGACACCGAATTCAGGAGATTGTAGTCTATCACGTGAGCAGGCTTAGAGCAGTGACTACTTTACAACACACACAGGGACCATGGAGAACAAAAGTATCCACCCTCGAGAAGGAAGGACAGTGTCAGCACCAATTCAGAGATGATTTGAGGTTCGATAGACAAGTGATACACAAATAAGATACATTTTTGTTAATAGTTAGGGTACTTGAAAAAAAAATTAAGATTTAACTCGAGTTTAGTGTTTAAGCACAGCTTATTAGCACATGACTTACCTAATGAAGTGATCCAATGAAGCATTGCTCCCATTGGTCACCAGCACTTCCATCTTCTTTTGGTCTTCTTCTGAGTTACTTCATCTCGGCAAGAATCCTGTGGGCACAGGCACAAATATGGCCAGATCTTACGGCAGGGCAGGCACAGACACATATTTTCCTAGGTATATAGTTAAGGAGGCTACACAAAAGTGTTTGCCTAAACTAAAGGCCTTCTTTAGAAAATAAACATCAATTTAGCATAACAACATCTTCTAATTATATACTTATTTTTAAATGTACACACATGATATATTAAATAATATTTATCAGTTGCTCATTGAAAAAGAATATGCATGGTTAAAGATATATCTATGATGCTTGAATGTATTTTACCTTATGTTGGTATTAAACTGACTTCACCATATCTTAAATTTTAGAATTAACCCTTTTGCGGCTGGGAACTGCCTCTCATTCGGCTAAACTAATTTTGCTATTTTTCAAACGCAAATTATGGGTTCCCCAAACAACATATTTTGGAGTAGGTAAAGGGGTAAAGATTATCATTGATAATGCACATCCCACTATAGTTGTGCAGTTGATTATCAGAAAATAATTTCAATAAAGTGTACCTACATATAAACAGCAAGGTACACTATTGTAAAGTTACTGATTTAATAACAATAAAGAGTGTTCACTTTGTGAAGCAAATATTAATTTATCTTAGTTCATAACATGAAGGAAGGAAATTTAAAAAAAAAATGTTTTGTCTTATTCACTAAATTAAGTGAGCATTTTCTATGGAAAGTGAACATTCTGTGCATATTAAATTATCTCCTTCATGCCTGAGTCCAATCTTACCAAAATTCCCGCAGAGAACATGTCGTTAGTTTAAAATTTAAAAAAAAGTGGATGGCGTGTGCTTAGTTAGGAGGTAGATTTGGTGGTACTTGTGGATGTCTGCCAGCTGCAAATCAACCCAATTATCCCAACCCAAAGTTCTTTCTTCCAATGCACGGGTTAATACACTAATCTTTAATGCATTCTTTATAATTTGTTTTGCCCTTGGCTGTCAATAATAGCCGGTTGTGTGCACTATTCACTGAAATATCTGTAATCATAATGAGTAATGGTGTTTCAGTCTGATGTATGAGTCTGAGGAATGATGATGCTCTGTATTTCTTTCATATTTGACTCTGATGCAATGATAATGATCTGCATTACCTTGATATCTATGTGATGTTCTTAAAAGGCCACTGTAATTGTTAAATACTTAAACAATGCTCATTTATTGTCATTCCCATAATACCTAAATGCTGAAATAAATCAGGCATTTCCCACATGTGCAACAACCACAATACATGGTAAGTACAAAAACTAATAATAACACATACTTTTTCATCAAGGCCAAAGCGCACAAATGAAGAAGACTGCGAGGTAATCAGAAACTTTAAGGTTGAGTGCCAATTTCAAAGGAAACAGTGGTGCTAAAATTTTTCAGTAGCGGGTATGTTAACAAGCTGCATTTTTGCCTTATGACATTCTGTGTGCCAAGCATTGGTCGAAGTGACTGCTTTCGTAAAATTCAGTTATTGTTGTTGAATTTAAGAAAAAATAAATATCTCTTTCAGTTGAATGAGAAAGAAAAAAATTGCACAAAACAATTAATCAGTTTGTAGAGGCTAATTCATACAAATGCATTCGATCACTGCTTGCAGTATGATTCTAATGAAAGGAGTAAGAGTGGCGTGATTCTTTTGAGTGTGGTTTCATTGTTGTGTATGTCATCTATTTTATTCATAATTTTCTTTTGTTCTGCCTCGTGTTCTATTTGTGAAACAAAAATCTTTCATTAGAAATCAAGTTAGTGTATTTACATGAAAACACACTGATTCGATTTGTATTTTTACCTTACCACCCTTCCCAAGATGGTATGACAAGTAGTGCCATACAAACAAGTATTTCAGTTGACACGGCAGTGGTTTGGGGGCTACTTTATTGTACCATTTTTTTAAAGAAAAAAATATTTTTTAAACATATATTTTACATAAATTCTTTATATAAAGTCTTTATTTTATAAACAAATATTTAATGCAAGGTGCACCCCTGACACTGGTTTCACAAATTAATATGGGTTTTAAAATGCAGCTGCAGCAGGTATTTATTTCAAGGCTTTCTCTCTCAATATATCTGTCTATGTATTTGGATGGATAAGTCACTCTTTTGAGCCATTCATCTGTGTATATATCATCTAAGCTTTGGCCTAAAAAACATATAAAAGGAAGCCCAGAGCTTCACTTGCTGGGTGTTAATTGAAAATATATGTTACAATGAATTTTTCATGGCATTGTATTATTTCATATTTACCTGACTGTTTTTTTTTCAGTTTTGAACAAATTTAATAAAGAAGAAGTATACAAAACACTACGGGGACTATTCACAAAGGAGCCGAAGGATCCAGCCGTAGCTTCAGCTGATCCTTCGGCTAGCTACGGCCGCCAGAGCCCTTCGGTTCCGCAGGCAGCCAAGCAACTCAGCCAGGCCGAAGGCATTTGCCACCCGTGTCACCCGAACGGCCGGCCTTTCTCCCCGCAAATGACAGCTGGGCGGAGCCAGCCATGATTTCACAGCTGGCTCCGCCTAGTTGTAATGACAGATCAGCTTCCTCAGATGACCTGGAGACACTGAACTGTCATTAAACAACAACAACTGGGCTGAGCCGGCCGTGACGTCCGTGCCGGCTACGCCCAGTTGTTTTTAATTGCCTGCTAGAAGACTGTAGCAGATGCTGGCCAATAGTAAACAGTTGGGCGGAGCTAGCTGTCACTGCTAGATCTGCCCAATTTTTTTATAATTTTTTTTCTCTTTTAAAAAAAACTTTTTTTATTATTTAACTATTTATTTACATTTAAAAAAATGTTTTCAACATTTAAAAAAAAAACTTTTTTAATTGATTTGCTATTCTGCTCGGTACCACGGTGAACTATGAAAATAGGGGCAAACGGCAGTGAGTGAGCTGCCGGAACTTTGGCTCAGCCGATTCAGATGTTGGAAGTCAAAGTCCTTCTGCACTGTTCAGCTGCACTGTGCGGCTGACCGAAGTGCAGCTGAAGGCAGCCGATGTACGGCTGATTTCAGCCGATGTACAGCTGAAGTCAGCCGTACAAGCCAGAAGTGAATAGCCGAACATTGTTCGGTTCACTTCACTTCGGCTGGGTTATTCACTTGGCTGTCTTCGGCAGCTTTCTGAATAACCCCCTACATGTTACATTTAACTAAGTTAACCTGTGTGTTATTTGTTTAGAGGATAACATATAAGCCTCTGTGATTTTTGAAAATGCAGTGTTTTGTATAGATTTTCTTTATTAAACTTGAGTGCTATTTTTTTTATTTGATTTCTTATTAGTTAAGTAAATATGAATTGTTGCTTTTTATTTATTGCTATTTATATTTTTATATTTGCCACTTGCAGCTAACAAGTGGTGTACTCTAGTCTACATTCCATTACTTTTGCTAAGTGATTTGCTAGTCTGCTATGAATAGCCCAGGAAATTCAATCTCCTGCAATGTTTGTCTATTTAAAAAACATGCAGATGAATGGTGGGACACATCCCATTCCTCTACTAGCTTCTATGGATTTTCAGATAGACAGAGGCAGTCAAGTTAGCATCCAGCACTGTACCTTATTAGTAGGAAGCCTATTGTGTTCTGCAAACTAAGGCCCCGTTCACACCAGGGAGTTTCATTGCGCGTTTTTTTCCGTGCTGAAATGCATGCAAATTAAAATCCCGTGTATTCCCATGAGGGCCGTTCATGCAAATGCGCTGAATCGTGAGTAAAAATATGCCTGTTGTTTGAAATAGTGCCTGAGCTTCTTTTGTGGCACTTATCAGATCATTTTGCTCCATAGATTTCAATGGAAACACGCCGATCAGCCCGTTTTTGCATGTTTTTGTAGGCGCGTTTTTGCAGCTGAGATTGCTTTGCATTGGACAACTGAAAACGAACTGAAAACGTGCCTTAAAAATCTATTACATATGAACAGAAAACGCCTGTAAAACAGACAGGAAGGCGCTAAAAAAAATGCGCTGAAATGCTGTTGCCCTGGTGTGAATGGGGTCTATGTCATGGAAGCACCCTGAAGTAAATGTTTATTTGTACAGTAAAGATTGTATACAAGTAACAAAAAAGTATATACAATGTTTGTAGACATTTAAATCAATATCAATAAAACTGATAAAAAAAAACAATATACGTTCATATAGCTACTAGTATTAATACATTTTCTTTACCTGGAATAATTAGATCATTTTTCTTTCATAAATGCCTTATATAAAAAAAAAGGCATGACACTGATCATGTTTATTTGGTTGTTATAATCACTTCAACTTCCCCTCAGTATATTTATGCAGAATAATGTGGCAGTATAAAAACAACATATGCTGCTTCTATTCAGATGTATCCAGTACACACCCTATTTTCTAAAAGTCTTAAAGTAGTTTGTATGCAGTATGAGGTCATATTTAATTAAGATTACATTAAAAAATAGTTAGCAATAAGATAATTTTCTATGCTATACTCATATTTTATATTTGTACATCAAACTAAACAAATTAATACATTGCAATATATGTTTGCTTAGTTATTTAGTTAACAATTACCACAGTTATTTAAAATCAAATTATTTAAAATTATTCCTTTCGTTTGTATAATAAGTCATTAAATAGTTTTGTCTATATTATAGGATAAGCACACTTTAAAACAAAGTGCACTTATCCGATTGGCCCCTTTAAGATGGCATCAGAGATCCCTTCTTTCCCCTACACAGATGCAAACTGAAGAAGTTCCGATAACAACCGAGGTCGGGCCCATCAAAACTTGTAAAGTATGCATCTGAGCAGGGAGAGTGAGGGATCAGTTCAAGCCAAAAGGATAAGTGCACTTTGTTTTTTAGTGCACGTATCCTTTAAATATGTTATATACTGTAGTAAGCTAATTTTAGCTTCCTTTTTCAAGTTAATGATAATATTAATACATTGTATATGTTTCACTACATGAAATGTAATGCAAACATATATGCACATAAAACCATAATAATATTTTTTTTGTATATTTTTTTGTAGATTATGTTCTAAGCAGTACCCTCTAGCATACACATAACTTAGGTACTTTTTCTGTAAAAATACACTAACGCACAATATCACCTTACTCTGATTTCTAAGGCCAAGTTCTATAATAAGAAATAAGGCCCTGATTAATGATGCCATTAATTCTGAACAGATTTCTATCATGTCTCTTTTGGCGGTGGCCTTTGGGTATGATCAACTAGCCGCTATTAAGTCTCTAAGGACCTTAAGAGCACTGAGACCTCTACGTGCATTGTCAAGATTTGAAGGCATCAGGGTAAGATCCATGTACACGCAGGGAAATAGTGCCTATTTTTTCATAGGAATCTTGTGACATTCTATTTTGTCAAGCTGAGCTTTTAACATAAAAGTGGGTAAGACTAACATTTTCCTTACAGTTTTACCAACAGGTCTATCATCATTTTCTAATGTTTTTCAAAGTTTTTTTTAGGTTAACCTGGACTTCCTCGAGATTCTTTAACAAAACCTACATGTCTTTAATGCCTCAGTAAAACAAATGGGAAGACCAATGAGATTATTACTTTTGTGTCTTTGTGTAGGTGTCATTGGTTAGCTTAATAGCTAACGCCTTGGGCTACTCAGAATTAGGGGCTATAAAGTCCCTTAGGACACTGAGGGCATTGAGACCTTTGAGGGCCCTGTCACGGTTTGAAGGGATGAGGGTAAGACCACCTGAAAGACCTTAAATAATGCATGCATAGAAATGAATCGTGCATGTCAGAAAAAGCATAAGATATGATAAATCCATGCAGAGATGCTGCAATAACCTCATACGTACTGTTTAGCACTAACAGATATGAGGTAGGATGCTTTGACACATTGCAAAAACCATATGCTATCACAACATACCAGCTTTTTTGTTCATGTTTGAGTCTATTCAACAGAAATTAACTAGTTAAAGCTAGATGAGGGTTAGCGATGTAACATTTAGAATAAATTTAGGTTAGTTTAAATACCACATGCCAGATTCCAAGAGTTAGTGGTACGAAGGTTGGCACCTTATGGTATTAGGACCAGTAGTAACTGAACAGTGACTCCTCGGTGCAACCAAAGTCAGTCTTTCTGAAATGAGAAAAGTAACAATAAAGCAATAAAGATAACCAAATTGCCTTTTTGGCAAATGGATGCCATGACACCTCTCTAAGCTATATTATATAT